AAGGAAAGGAAAGGAAAGGAAAGGAAAGGAAAGGAAAGGAAAGGAAAGGAAAGGAAAGGAAAGGAAAGGAAAGGAAAGGAAAGGAAAGGAAAGGAAAGGAAAGGAAAGGAAAGGAAAGGAAAGGAAAGGAAAGGAAAGGAAAGGAAAGGAAAGGAAAGGAAAGGAAAGGAAAGGAAAGGAAAGGAAAGGAAAGGAAAGGAAAGGAAAGGAAAGAAAAGAAAAAGAAAACAAGAAAAGAAAAGGGGAGAGTTGAACCAGCTTATAAAAGTATTGTGATATCAAGACTTTAGCATAGGATATCACCACTTTCTATTTTCATAAGCAGAAGAGCAACAAAAGAAATCTCAGGTATTCCATGACGTTCGATATGTTCTACTAACTTCAAACTTGAGCTATCAAATGATGGAGAAGATCCTGAGACTATCAGTTTTATGGGACCAAAAATGTTCCTGATTCAAATATTTTTCTATAACCAACAAAAGGTACAAAGCATGCCTTTTTTTTAAAAAAAAAAAAAAAGGATAGGCCTTGGAGATCAAGTTGTTGAACTTGAGTTAACAGAGCTGGGCATGGCATTACTTGGACTGAATGTTTGGCATGCCCTGAGCGAGCTGTGTCACAGAAATTGAGAGTGAATGCTGAACCCTGTATGGTTTACAATAGAATGAAGGCTCTCATTTGGGGAGCTGGGCTGGGTGCCCTTTGTCCTGGTGTAGGGTATCGGTCTGAGATCAGCAGTGAGATGACCATGTTTGTTTTTCAACTCTCCAGTCTTTGCAGGCTACTGTGATCAATTGTGTCTTGTCAAGGCTCAGATTTTGCTTCCTACCTCAAAGGATGGGTGTGAGATTTAAACAAAATTTACATAGAGTACCCAGTATATAGCATTGGAAATACTAGCCATCACAGTAATTATTAGCAAAACTTAGACATTTATTTCTGCCTCTGATCCTAAAGTTCATAGCTTCTTATGGTGAAATAAATGGTGGCATTTTGCATAATACTATTTCCCATAATAATTAAAGCAGGGAACTCTACATTTTGCAGTTTTCAGAAATACTATGATTATAGCTAGATATGTAGTATAGATGCAGATGGACGACTGCATGCTTTTCAGGGTGAGGGACAAGGGAAACCCGGGGTCACTAGCACCTACTAAAGATTCTGAGGTTCGCTGATCCACTTGCAAGGCTCCTGCAGACTTCAGTGGGATGTGTGCCTGTCACTCCATTGTCAGGTGCATGGAGTACTGCCTATCCAAGTAGTACAGTCCCAAATCAGTAGGTTTCTGTATTTCACATGCTTTTATTCTTCAGTCATAGAAGAAATATGACAGACACAATGATTATTCCAGTGAAGCCTCATTTGGGAGAACATTTTTGCATTGTTAAGCCTCCACACAAAAAGTGTTGTAACCCTAATCTTTTTTTAATTGACAGAGGGTGGGTATGACCACCAGAAAAAGACAAGAAAGGAGAGAGAGAGGGAGAGAGAGAGAGAGAGAGAGAGAGAGAGAAGCACACCCCCATCCCCAAGCAGTGTGCTCATGATGCAGTCCCTTCTTCTCCATTTCTCTATCCTGTGGGGGTTTAGGGCATTCACACACATGCACTCAGTGTATTTTTCAAGCCCTCAGAGCCAGAATTTGAACCACATTTGACCATGTGGGATCTGATCTTCTTAACCACTAGGCTGCAGGCTGGCCCACTTTTCCCTAAATTGTAGTGACAAAATCCACCCAAATTTTGAAATTTTATTTAGGAGTCACATCACCTTCAGCTGCCATCTCTGCTTCTCCTTCACCTATTTTTCTTTCTTTCTTTCTTTGTTTTTTTTTTTTTTTTTTTTTTTTTTTTGAGAGGTTTACGCCATAGGGCGTGTGTGCTCGCCAGAAAGACAGAGAGAGACACAGAGACAGAAAGTGAGAAATCAAGCCCCAGGGAGGATGGCCACACCGCAATCCCTTCTCCTCCATTCTCCTCTCGTGATCTTAGGCACGCATGAACACGTGCCCAGTGTGAGTTTAAGCTGCAGGGTCCAGGACTTGAACCATGGTATGCTACATAGGAGTCCAGTGACATAGCCATTACGCCAACTGCTGGTCCCTCCTTCACCTCTTTTTGAACAAGTGATACGATAGCATTGACATTGCTACAGTGAGTGGAGCAAACCTGCTTCTGTGCACAATGAAGTGGGGTGTCAGAGATGGTCTTGACATATTTCCCTTGACGCAGAAAACGCAGTATAAAAAATAAAGAAAAGAAAAGAAAAAGAGGGAAAAAAATTAAAAAGACGGAAGCACCTAGAGGGAAAAAATAAAAAATAAAAAGCTAGTCAAAACATGTCCTCCAAATTATTTTCCCAGAATTGAGATTTGCTACTAAAGCCACCTAAGGAAAATATTAGGTTGGAGTTATCACCTCACTAGTTTTCAGATGTCTCTTTTCCAGCAGCAAATACGTGTGCAAAATACCATGTGTGTATCATGTATCACGGGGATGCATGATAATCCTACTGATGTGTTCTGTCCTGAATAACCAGTGTTCCAGGGTTTTTGTTCTGTTTTTGTTTTTGTTTTTGTTTTTTTCTCCCAGAGCATACAAGTGCTCGCTACAGACAGAGCAAGAAAAAGCATCTGTCAATGGGGTCCTCTCTTGCCACAGTCTTCTCCCCATCTCCTCAACCTATCATGATGTTGGGCATGCACACAGATGCACTCAGCCTAATTTTCAAGCTTTCAGGGCTGGGATTTGAACCAGTATCTGGCACATTATGCACAGCACTTAACCACTGTGCTACAGGGCTATCCTAACAATCAACTTTAAAAGTACTAAAAATACCATTTTATTTTCAATTTTTTATGTTTATTTAAAAAATTAAGTATTTTTTTCTGAATAATTTAATAGTTTACCTAGAAACCTTTATTTGATATTTTATACCATGCCTACAAATATTTGTATAATAAATAAGGTATTTGAATCACTGTGTTTTTTCTAATGT